CTCTCTCTCTCTCTCTCTCGCGCCTGTAAATTTATCGCAGCGGCTTATGACAAGCCTGAGTCTAACAGAAACAAAGGCAGAAGGAGTTTTTTGTGGCCTGAGTGTGACGCGATGTAGCTGTATGTCAATGAGACGCATGAGCTCATGGCTTAGGTGGACCAGGCCGGCTGCAGCCTTGCCCTGTAGAGGCCAGGGACAGTGTCAGGAGGTGAGCCTAGACCCCGTGCTTGTCATTCCAGGTTGAGGCACGCTGAGCTCCATGGCCCGCGTGCTGCGTCGCTTGCGGCCGGAGGCAGGAGACGTGTTGCGCTTTGCTACTAAGAAGCTGGGCTGTCGAGCAGTCCAATGCTCGACGGTCTTCCGCTTCGCTGATCTGTATCTGTTGTGTCTCCGGTGAGCTTGTGCACAAATGGTGCGAGGCCCTGGGGGTGCAGGAACTAGGGAGCTTGTGGCGGCCACCAGGCAAAGGCGGGATCAGCGAGCTGTCTGATCATCTTTTGGAGATGCGAAGCCCCTCGTGCTTGGCAGGGCCTGGGATGTGCCGGGGCAGGCCTGCCCAGTCTGGGATGTACCCGCGTACGGCGTGCGGACAGTCTTGCTGGCTTTCCTGCTTCGTCCACACACCCAACTCAGCTGTCATGTAGGTGGCCAAATCAGTCGATGTTTCCGGGAGATGGTGCCGCTGCCTCAGAGTTTGAAAAGCCACGACCCCTCACACCTGATGCTCACGACAAGCCGCTCCATGAGGTAAAGCAAGGCACCAGGCGTGTTCAGTTTTGCTTGTTCGTGTTTCGGCCAGCACAGCGACTCAACACCAGGCCAAGCCAAGGTCCATGCTTGGTGGCCCTAGATCGTTTCGCTTTTCCACTGGCGTGGCCTGCTTCTCGCCTGAAGGTGGCCAAGAATCTGCAGCCGTGGAGGCCAGGTTGTTTCGGGTGTTTTTGGGCTTCTCGGAGGAGGCGTTCTGGTTTCGGTTGGTCCGACTTCGATCCTCGTTAGACTGTTTACAAGCAGCTCAGAGAGCCCGACCTGAGAAATGTGGTTGCTCCCTCCTTTGGTCCAGAGAGATGATGGCTTTCCTTTATGAGCATCAGAAAACCCCAAACCAGGATACTGCTTTCCCAGCCGACACCTTGGATGCTTGATGCCAAGCAAGCCCTAACCCAAGGCCTAAACCTCGGCCGAAGCCTCCGAACCCCACGCCCAGCTTCGCTGCACCGTCCCCGCACGGCTTCGACCGACCGCTGTCGGGCTGGGGTCCGGCACCTCGGCAAAGTTTTCTTTCCACAGAAGAGGGTTCCGACAAATTTGGGGGGTTGCGCTTTCCGGGAGCCCTAGCCTTGATTCTCAGCATGAAGGTTGCTGGCGAGATCATAGCGTTGTTGGGTTGAGCGCGAAAGCTGAGCCTACAAGTCCTGCAACGTCCTTTTCCCGAAGTCTTCCTCTCCCCACAAGCTTGCAACTGTCCATCTCCCGTTTTGACCGATTGGCGTGGGTTGAACGATGCCTGGAGTCTACAAACGCGTAGGGACAGAACGGAAGAACTGTTGCTTTGCGACAGGCGTTCCGGGGTCTTTGAGAGGCGATGCAGGGGTCCCGACTCCCAACTTCGGTGTCATGTAGAACATCTATGACTGCATGACCTGTATACTGGTTGGGCTGCACAGTACCAGACATGCACCATCCATCAGCATCCCCCTCAAGCCGCACTCCATGCCAAGTCACCCTTCGAGCCGAAGACCAAGCCTCCAGACGAGTACTGCCTGAGTCTTGGGAAGGTCACAGATGTGCTCAGGAGCGAAGTTGTCAAGAGACACTCTTTTGGACCAAAGCCGATTGGCCACCCGGGGAGTGCCGGGTATTGCGGGGCGAGAGCTGACAGAATCTGACAGAGTCCTACTCGTCCCGAGACGTTGTCTCAACCATGTTTTCCGCGCAGGAGTGACTATCCGGAGCCTTGGCTAAAGCTAGCACCAACTCCGCCCCAGGGGTTTTCGGTCTTCTGAGCGGTCGGCTGCCCCTGAAATATGAGACATTCACCTCTAAGTTTAGCGTGACCAGGCGTGACTCGACTGTAGAATTTGTAGGTGTAGCGCAGGGCGGCATGTGACATTCGCCGCTAATCGCAGAGTGACTAGCCATTGTAGGGTGACTAGACTGTACAAACTTGTGTGTTTCAGCGGTTTGCCGGGTAGCTCCAGGGCGGCATGTGATATTCGACATCTTGCTGAAGCCTGGATAACCCTTGCTGTCACATGACCTACTCGGAATTGTTGCTCGACGTCGTTGCTCGAGTTGCTAGCGGTGTGTTTCTTTGCCATAGAGTGGGAAATGGAAGTTGCTAAAGTCCTCCATCTTTCCTGTACTTTCCTTGCCATACTAAGGATTTCTTCGCCAGAGCTCCAGACTTCAGCATTTACGACGAGCTGCCTGGCAGAACCGCTTTCCATTTGCTTTGCCAGTCGGTGTGTGCAGTATGGGTATCCGGCGGATAGTATGCCGCCAAGTTTGCCAACTGAGCTTTCAGACTGAAGCCGCGTGCCTAAGGGCGCTGACGCTGCAACTACGGAAGCCGTGGGACGAACCAAAGCAGCTGGCCGGGTGCCGGTCGACTTACGAGTCGAAGCTGCAAGAGCTCCTCACGTCCCTTACCCCGACAGATTGAAACCTGAAACTCTGACTGAAAACGATAGAAACGTCGGTTTCGGTTCCGACGGAGTTGGAAGTTTTATCGCTTGCCTGGAGTCCAGCGGAGCCTTTGCAGCTCGAGCTTCAGGAAACGTGCCTCAAATGGATTCGCGCATTGAGCAAGAGTTTCATTCACGATGGACTTGCTGCTTGGCCGCAGACATGACGTAGCAGAGGTCGTCAAGTCAGTTACTTTCTGTGCCAGATTTCTTCGCCGGTGCTCGCCTAAGGTTGAGTGCCAGGTCTGTGACGGCCGACCGCAGCTTTGCTGTATTGGGAAGGAGGTTGAAAGTCATGTGTTGTCGGACGCTACCATGGCTACCATCAGGGCATGGCAGCTCGGAGTCAATTTTGCGGAACACCGGTGAAGCAGTGGCGATGTTCCGCATCCTGTGGTTTGACATGATCTAACACGTGCTGTGCTCTCACTCGGTGTGTGTGAGACGGGGGAAAGCTTTGAGGTACGGTTTCGATCTTCGGGTACACTGGACTTGCCAGGGAGAGCTGCGATTAGGTGGGCCGTCTGATGATTTCGCAGTCCATATGCGCTACAGATAGGTACAGCTTCGCACGGCTAGTAACAAAAAGCCACTAGAGAAATGCTTCACTTTGGATGCGCCTCCCCTCCTTGAGGCGCGGTGTTCCGATGGTATACGAAGTTTCCGGATCCCGTGGTCTACGTCCATCCAAGTCATAATTTCCAAGGCTACCCCAAACCATATCTTCGTTGCGGGGATAGGTGTAGCTTGGAAACTTTGGCTGCCTAACACACAGCGAGGCAAAGTCGGTAGGTCATGGTCTCTTCAAGTTTGGTCCAGGCCCCATTAAGGGACGGGTCTCATCGCCGATAAACAGCGGAACCATGGCCCTGCTTCCTCCCGATTGCACTCTGAGAATTCAGGTGTATGTAGTTACACTCTCCTGCAGATGCTAAGACCAGAAGTTCTGTTACCTCTGTCCGTCGAGTGATGCTCTCTAGCTTTTTCTCTGAGCACAGACTGTTGTTGACAGTTCAATTGCTAGTGCAGTGTATTGAAACAATCTCTGGGCCTGTGGTTGGAGGCACTTGAGAAAACATATGCAAAGCCAGTCACAAAGATATGAAGGACACCCTTACGCCGTTATCGGCTTGTTTGGTATAGATTGGTAGCTGGATAGTGCCACCCACATCATCGTAGCCAGCAGCCAGCAGGATGCGACCAGCAGCATCATGATTCGATCGGTATGCGTGCACAAGACCGGAATGGACATGCTCAGTTGTGACTCATAGCTACTCTTGACCAGAGTACCGAATTCTGACCGCCCAAGAAAGCGATTTCATGATTCATCGCTTCAACCCATTACAGCCAATCGTGGCGGCTAAGCCAGGACCCCTTGTAAGGGAGCTTGGGCAACGCTTTTGCTGAGGAACTTGGGGTGGGCTTGAGTATTTCTTCTTCGAGGGTTTTTCGATACGAGTTGTTCCTATCGTTTGCACAAACCACAGCATTTGCTGTGCGGGAATTCAACCTGCAGCAGATGTGAGAGGCTACAGAAGCTTCAAGATCTCGGCTATATCCTTGTACGAGATGAGAAAGCAGGAAAATCCAGCCGATCCTTGGTCTAACGGTGATCTTCGGAATCGGACAGCCACTGCTAACGTCATGCCGCCTGCGACCTCGGCCCTCACTCGTTCATTCCTGTCTGCTTGCTCGAAGTATGTTCGGCAGGGATGAGGGGGCGGTCTTCACATTGTGCAGCCATTGTCAGCTCCAGCTTCACTCTGCATGCAAGGAATCGCAACAACTTGCGTGGCGGATCCACAAGCACGTGATTGCCTCTCGGCTGATGTTTGGCTGTGAAGGACAGAGCTGTTGGACGCAGAAGTTGAATGATTCATGTACAAGCCGTGATTCGGTGGGAGATGAAAGCATAGCAACATGGCAACTTTCCCGGTTGTCGGGTCTCTACAAAACCAAGTGATTGTGGCTTGACCTGGTCACCATGCTTGTCAACAATCCGTGGATTGCATGCTCTTCGAAACTTCAGGGCCTGAGATGCAGAAGGGTTTGCTCAGAGCTCAATGTTGGTGCACTGAGGATATCACAGAGATTCGCCCCTGGTGCCTTCGGCAGACTTTGATGAATGGCTTCGAGGAGCGCTCACCTGGGATGTACTGCGGATGTGCACCACGCACTTGCGTGACCGAAGCTTGTGCCCAGCAGGAGCTGGAGATGGAGCCCGCTCCTTGAAGCTTTGCAGATACCCTCAATTTGACGCAGCAGCTCAGCTCATCTTTCGATGGGATTGCATCGAACGCAAATGCTCGTGGCTGTCACATTGCGCAGTCTTTGCGGTTCTGACTCTTCGAATGTTTACACCAACTTGGCCTTCAAGCGGGCACGTTGCGAAAAGGGCAGAATGCAGGAATCACTAGTCACTAGTGAAACTGGCATGGTGCCAAACGTAGGGTGCATGAGGTCCCGACAGTCCTGCCCGTTTCACCAGCGAGTCTTGACGACAAATGTCTGATTCTAGCCGAAGCATATCCTTCAAGTGACTAGCCCTGTTTTTTGCATATCCATAGCTTTCTGGGGCGCTTGACTCCCCTTTGACTGATGGGGCTGCAGTCCCAGGCTGGGAGCCTCATGCGGGGTCCGCAACTCAGAATATTGGAGCTCTGGTGCAAAAGGGGGTTTGTACTGGTACCAAGTGTCTAAAGCATGTTGGGGCAGTCAGCCCACCAACCGCCACACTGCGTTGCAGCTCTGTTTCAGAGGGGTCGTTTCCTTGCGTCCCGTAAGTGGTGAACAGGCGAGTTGCTTTGAGATCTCTTGTTCTTATCTAGGCTGCAGTAGCTACGAGTCTGCGCCGCTGTAAACTGAGGCACCTGCGCGAAATTCGTCCTACGGTTGTTTCATGCGGTTTTCAAGTCCCTGAAGCAAGCGATCAACAATTATTTGAAGCACATTTGGAGGGGAGCGCCGGTAGGTTTCGCAAAGAAGCCGTCCAGCAGCGCTGGATCCAGGCTCCCCCATAGGTAGGTAGCTGACATGCTTTGCAATCTTCGCAACGCAAACTCTAAAAGGAGTTGGCGCTTACATGCCGCGTCATTTTCCCGGGAAGTGGATGCCAAGGGCAGCTGAAGGGTTCGACGTGGGTGTTAAGGGGATACTTTGTAATTTGTGAATCTTGTGGTTTTCTTTTACTCCTTGGAGGTTGCACTGCCTTGTCGTGTTTCATCTTTTGAGATGTATTGGTAACTGCAGGGCCGGTGCGAGTGCAAGCATCATGCACATCACCTGCGGCTCCAGGCGACTGAGCCTGGACTGCTAGGTGCTGACCGTGCCATTCCAGCTGACACTTGTTCTTCTCTTCCCGCGAGGATGACCATGGAGGTATGGGGCCTCACACAAGCCGTTGGTACGGATCAAGCTTGATAGGGAGGCTGTTCATCGGCTCGTGCATTTTGCATATCCAGGTTTCCGGTTCCTCCAGGCCATCCCGTGAGGGATGGTTCCCGAATTGGGAAGGTGTTTCTCAGGGCGTGTGCCATGTGCTCCCTGGGGTCAAACAGAGCAGCTGATTGCGGATGTCTCGCTTTTAGTTCCACTTTCGACTAGATGGCCAGAAGTGACAAGCATCTGGTGCCTCTGGAACTAGTTGTCCGCTGTCTTCGCTATGACCCCTTGGTCCGCCTGTACAGAGAGGCCGGTGTGTGCAAGCCGGAGGCCTTAACACAGCCAGAGCACAGCTCTGGCAACATCTAAACAAGGCTTCCTGCTTGCATGCCTCATGCTCTTAATGCCAGCGCTCCATAGCGGAGGCCTGACGACTCAGGGCAGGCAGCATGATGTCCACTGTGTGTGCGATAGTCATCATCGGCAGCCTACTGTTTCTGTTGGGCTAACGTGTTTGAGGCAGTAAGCCTCCTGCGTGTGGTGGAGAAGCAAACTTCAAACGCTCGAGTCGTGATGGCTTGGGATGGCTTGGGAATGTCAGTGTCAGCTTGAAGCCTGTGTCACGCGACGAGCCTGCTTCACAGGTGCTTCGATGGCATCTCAGAGTTGGTGTCAGATGAAGAAGTTATGGGCATCGAGGCGAGCCAGCCTCCCGTGATTTTCCTCACCCTTAATGAGATTGGCGATGGACAGACACTTACCCTGTGCCTGTAACATGTGTGCGAGATCCGTTCATTGTTTGTTTAATGGATTTAGTCTAATTTAGTTGTTTCCGGATCAGAGGATTAGCCGTGCTCCTCGTTCTGCAGCAGGTCACATCTGACGTCGCTGCGGAGCACATCCTTCTTGATGGCATGCGGGATTCCCAGCCTAAAGAAGCTCGATGCTTCGACGACAGCTCCGCAGTTTTCACCGCTTCAACTGGCGATGCGCCAGACAACAGCTGCTGCAGTGAGATGATCAGGGTTTTACTGTGTGGATGTTTACTGGGATGCAGCAAGGAAAGCAGCCTAGTATGACCATGTTCATTATCATGATCAGTTCTGTTGTGCTGACGATTTGACGATTTGATGACTCTGATGGTTACAGCTCTCAAGACAACGCGACGACAGTCACTCACAATTAGAGCTCGACGTTTGTGAACCGAGGCAGGCCTTGCTGGTGTCCTCGGGGCTGCGGCCTGGCAGGCTTCATGCCTTGCGCAGCCACGTGCTGGGAGTCTTCCGGGACGAGGAGATGGGAGGGGAGCGGACCGGGGAGTTTTCTTCCGACCGGAAGCCCGAAGCGAAATCTTCGGTCTGGGAGGACGGGAACCCTCTGCTGCCTTTGACTTCCGGCCTCGAGTTTTGGGTGCCCATCTGAGCCGGAAATGATGCTGGTTTGTTCTATGTTGAGGCCATCAGTGACATCTCCACTGAGGTCCAGCCAGACGACAGCCGCTTTCCGGAGATCCTGCTGCAGGCCGCAGTTCAACTCGCTACGAGTTGAGGGTGTGTCGTGTTCTTGGTCTTTTTTTTGTGCAGCAGCTTTTGGCAGCTGAAGTTTTGCCTGTCGTCTGCTTTAACCCAAAAGCGCTAGATGTTAGACTTTCAATCCCCAAGACTGTCCTGTGGGCTCTGAAGGTGCCGGCACACATGGGCCATGCGGCCACCGACAGCAACATTACGTTATTCTTCAACGAAGACCTGCAGGCTCGTGAGATAGAAATGTTGTGGTCGCCTTTTCTTTCGCTCCACGCTCGACTCTGCAATCTCAATGCTTCCGGCAGGCGGATGTCAATGGCACCATAAACATCAGCGATGGTATGCAGGCCTCGTCAGTTTCTGTCAAGCAGTCGGTATTGACACTCCTGAGTGCAGCTGTGCCAGGAGGAAATCATCGCCCTTTCCGCCCCGAGCAATTTGCCTGGGGTGGGCTATGCCTTGACCTCGTGACGAAGGGCAGAGCTGTGGTTCGCAGAGACCCGATCGGAACTGCAAGGTGCTACTGCAGGGCTCCATGGTTGTCATCAACCCCGCGATGGACTTCGGTCCGACCCTGTGCTCTGACGACTTAGGTCTCAGGACTGCACCAGTTACTGTACTCATCCATCTCCCCGTAGTCTGCATCTTCCCCTGACATACTGCGTATACATGCATGCATGCATACTTAGGTAGATATATATATATATATAATATATATAATATATATAATATAATATATATATATATAATATATATATATATTATATATATATATATGTCTAGATCATGGTCTTCCGTCGTCCGCACTGGTCCTTTCCTCTCCCTCGATCGGTCCCGAGGGTGATGAGGAACAACAGCTCGGTCATTGCGTGACGGCAGAAGCAGGCTCCAGACAGGAAGGAGAAGCTGGATCATCCCATGGCCGTGATCCCACCAAAGCCAAGACTGGAGCCCTCCAGATCTTTTGGATCCCGCCCTTGCACCTTTCAGCCATATTGCTCGAGACATTTTCTGAATGTTCGATCGTCAACGCAGATGCTGGGTCTAGGCCCGGTGATTGGGTTGCGACGATCGGCCGGCGGTCGGGATCCATCAGCAGTGATGTTACGACCTACTCCCACATTGCTGTCGCAACAGAAACGGCCCGGTGAGTGTTCGGACCTTGACGGATGATGGGGCTGAAGTCGTGCATACATACATAAAATCTAGCGTGTGCTCCCTGCCCCCTTCCCCCTAAAGGTCTAGAAGCCCCCTTCACCCCACCCCTGTGGGTGGGTAGATGGCTGCATTTGGCTTGGTGTTTAGGAGAATCTGTTCCTGCTGGGGGCGTTGGTGTGTTGGCTTCAATTCCCCTCCTTCCCCTTCCCGCTCCTTGTGGGTGAGTGTGTGTGTATATATATATACTTATGTATATATGTGTGGTTCTTTGCGTGGGTGCATGGGTTTGGGTTTGGCTTTGCTCAATCTTCCTTTCCTTGTGGGTGTGGGTCATGCGGACGAGGGTCGCGACCCGACCCATCTTCGTTACCATGGAATACCATGGAGACACATGTGTGCGTATTGCGGTAGGACGACAGCTTGATGTATTCTTTGTTTCGCCAAGCACAAGCTCCCATTCGCCTTCGTTCAAGGCCTGGACCGAGAGGTGACGGTCACCTTCGAGCACGGGATCTTTCGCGACTTTGTCCGGAACCCGTGCCAGATTCGGGCGTGAGAGCGCAGTACTAATTGGTAATTGGTACTGCTTAACTACTTTGAGTATTTATGCAGCAGCAAAATAATCGCTGGTGCATATACCATATGCAAAATCCTTCGTACAGTATGTCAGCCTGCATGTATGTACATATTTCTGTTTGCATGTAGGTTTGCATGGATGATGGACGACGGATGGAAGGATGGATGGATGGATGGATGGATGGATGGATGGATGGATGAATAACAGGCAAGCAGACAGGCAAGCAGGCAGGTAAGTATGCAAGGAGGCATGCATGCATGCGTGCATGCATGCATGCATGCATGCATGCATGCATGCATGCATGCATGTATGTATGTATGTATGTATGTATGTATGTGAGCATGTGTGTACATATGTACGTACTTATGTATGTATATGTATATATGTATATGCATGCATCAATCTATGTGGCTCTGTGTGTGGGACTGTGTGCGGACATGGTGCATGTATTGTGTATGTACGGTGGCAACGTAGCGTATCGTCATATTCCAAACAACACTGTGGAACCTTATAGAAGCCTGTAGAATCCTCCTGTGGAACCTTATAGAAGCCTGTAGAATCCCAGACTGCCCTTTTGAAAGATCCGATCAGGCGGTAGTCACACTTTGTTTCGCCTCGTCGTGCTGTGGCCTTCTGTGATAGAACTTCCACAGCTGAGGCCGGCAACCCTTTCAGAGGGCCGGGCGCCCAGCGCAAGGAGATGAGAAAAATGAGCCAGGGAGTATAGAAAGCCGCGAAACACCTGTGGTAATTGGAGGCTTGCGATACATATTGTAGGTGAAATTCCTGAACTGAGCGGGTGTGTTCTAGGCTCTGGTTTCTTTGAGATGACTGCTGCATGCTTCTCATAGTCTGCAGCATGACAAGCTGAAGATTGCACTTGTGGCACTCTAAGGTTGCGGGAGGGTGAGTATGTCTTCCACTCGGCACCTTCGGCGTTTTCGCTGATCGCTCCGTATGTGTGAGAGCCTCAGACGGAATGCAGTGGAGCGCTGAAGCTGGCTCGGACTCGGCGGTCCTTCAATTCGTGCCTCTTTGCACAACTGAAGGCGCTACCCCAATTTCCGTGAGCCGCGCTTCACTCCAAGGGCCGGTGCGGGATGCTCGGCTGGCCTGCACAGGCAGCATGTGCTTAGCACCGCTACCGGTGCACGTTTCTTCCGCACGTTGTGCTCATGTTGGGTGTTCCATCCCAGGCAATGCTGCACCACGTCCATGGCACCTTCCTTCTCGTCGGGGGCGAGTCCGAAGGCTTTTGCCTGGCCGATACCTGGGCAGTGTTGCCCAGACCAGGGGGGTTTGAGAGCTGCGAGTTACCCTATTTACCCTGGCCCCCCTTCTGCAGCCTCGGCTTGCCAAGGTCTCTGAGACTGGTGTCGACTGGACACAGGTCGAAGGCGTGATTTCCCAGGACTCTTTGGGGCTTGCCTTTCTCCAAAGCACACATGAGTAGCATGCTCCACTATGCTCCACTAACTCTTGCAGCACTTGCAGATGCACGTGTGCACCCGTTAAGTGTTAGAACCGTCAAGCCCAAGTACAGATGCAGCTATATGCAGCCTTGGGCCATTGTCGCGAGGACTTCTTTCGAGCGATTCCCCTTGCTTGAAGCTCAGCGCGTGTGGCAAGCCTCGGCATCTGTGACCGATGTGGACAGGGTTGATTATACTAAAACGGCGTAATCAGAACCGTTGCAGCAACTCAAACGTCTAGCCACTACTACTCGCAACTCAGATCGCCCACTCGCCCTCGGTCGTGGACAAAGACGGTTGCATTGTGCTCAGCTGGACTGTCTAGCTCTCTGATGCAGGCGGGGTCAGCGGGGTTTGCACAGTTTCCCAGACCGCAGCTTCGGCCAAGGCGTTTGGATTCTTGGCGGGCAGTGCAATGACGATTCCGGAACCTTGTGGAAGACGTTCCTGACCCGGCAATAAGTATACCTTAGCTTCGGATGTGCAGATCAGGTGGGTCTTGAGATCGAGAGCATGGCCAGCAGATTTGATGGCTTGCGTAGCCGGCGTTGCCAGCTCTGAAGCGCTCTGAGGTGTGACATCGGGCGTTCCTGGATGCACATGCCCAGATCTCGTGCCATCCCTTTTGGCCGGACGCCAAGGCTTTGCCAGAACTTCGCTGATCTCGTGTGCCAGGAACCCCAAATCAAGGTCTTAGATTGACTTGGAGTTTAGGGCTTCCCCCAGATTCTTATGCACCACCTCAAGGTCAGGAAGTGCCGCCCGGCTTCCCATCAACCTTTCGAGCAGCCCGGCGGCAAATTCGCTCTGAGCACAGTCTCCTGACGGAGATAGAATTGCTCGAATACGACGATCGGACAGGTTCATTCATGTCGGGCCAATGAAGAGGGAAGATGCCCTTTTGTTTGCCGGAGTTGGACATCGTCTCGTGCGAGAAGTCGCGTGCTATCTGGTACTGTCGGGCTTTGCGCAGGTTTGCCGACCTAGGCATCCTCTCAAACTTGGTAGCGAACAACAGCTCAGGCTTGTCAGGGGTTGAGGGCCTGAGTCCAGTACATCTGGCTACCAAGGACCATGCGTTGGCGATCTTGGGGGGTGCCCTGGCTGACCTGGGAAGCTGCGGGGAGGGTAGAGTGGTGCAAGCGAGGTGTGACAATGTTAATAATGCTACATGTCTCGTCGCCTGCAGGTTGGCAGCTGGTAATAGCAGATGTCTCACCGGACAGCAGCGAAGCCATTTGGAGGCCCTGGAGTAGGAGTGATGAAGTGATGATGATGACGGTCAACTGAAATGTTCGGGCTGCTAGCCGTCGTGGTAGACTGTTTCAGCTCGCATGTAGCAATCATTTAGCTATCCTGAGTGTTCGTATCATTTCATGCCCTGCATCCTGAACTATTCTGGGCTCCGGCCTCCGGTCGCCCCTGGTCAGAAACCCCGAGCCCATTGTTTATACACTTGTGTAATCTTGTGTACCAATCTATCTTACCTGCTGCAGGCGTCCAGAAAGTCTTTCAGGATTCTCCCTTGCTGCGACATCCGGGTGACGTAACATCCACGTGCTGCGGGCTTTTGCCTCTTACTAGGGTGTGCACTTGGGGTTAAGCTGACTGAAGTTTAAGTGTTGTTGGCCTGACCTCACGCCGCCCGGGGGCTTTACCCCGGCTGGGCCGACGTAAACCTAATGTACAAGTGGTGCTCCTTGGCCTGAAGGACTTCCGGCAGGCTGAGTGGTTGCAAAATTTAGCCACCACTTGGCGGCCAGGTTTGTGGCTCCGGATGCCGAAAGGGTGCAGCGAGTTGGAGGTGGACGTGCGCCGGGCTTGGTCTTGGCTTGAACCCAGCAGCCTACCTCGCGAGACACCGTGATCCAAGACAGCCCAACACTGGCCAAACCTCTAAAAACATGGGCACAAGTGTCAGGAACACGAAGCTTCAATGCAGCACAACAACCCTAGAACCTGCAACCACCTTCCGAAATAAAACCAGCGCTTCAAAGCCCACGCCTTCAAGGCCGACGATCCCAGCCGTGCCGCCCCACTGGGCTTCGGCCTTCGTGCCTTGGTGCCAGACAAGATTCGAATTTCTCATTTCAAGACCTGGTGCATTCAAATTCATGGCTCATGGGCCATGCTGGATTGCAGCCCGTCGTTCTGAAGTCTTGTGTGCAGTGCGTATTGAAGCCGAGGTCGATCCCCCAAGCTGCTGGCCACCTCCACCGCTGGACTGTTTCTCGTCGGAGGCGCATGGAATCCTTCTGGAGACAGTTGTTGGTCATTGTGGACCCCTGCTGAGCGCCCCCGCATCAAGACTGCCAGTGAGGACGGACGTTTATTCACCTTGGATCCACATGGTCTCTTTCTCGCTGCTTGAATGGCTGCCAACTTGTGCAGTTGGTTCCCGATAAGCGGTCATGACTCGTCCGTACCAGCATCTCGCCTCGCAATCCGCGGACCCAAGTTCTGCACTCTATTTCGCTTGCGCGCAGTGCATCCCGCAATGAACTTTCGTTTGAGCAATTTGCGATTAATCTCCTTTCTTGGTCAGGCCACCTCTGCGCCCCGGGAGAGAGTCTCTGCAGCGCGGTCTTCAACGACGCCTCTGAGTTGCAGAGAGTGCCCCCATGTCGCGGCGCCCCAGTGACAGTGTCGTGCACAGCTCAGGTTTGGTTTAGTCCAGACGGTGGTGCTCATTGGCATTGCAAGACGAAGAGCTACGCTGCGGGATGGGACATGCCCACGGCTCGGTTTTTTCTCGCAAGCTACTACTCCTTAAGTGGCGCTCCAGCATACTGTGATTGCATCAGCATTTGCGTTTCTGCAATGCAGGACGACTAGATGACGGTATGATGCTTCGAAACCTGAGTCACAGGTTTCAACTCCTCAACTGGCACGGTGTCGGCATCCACTTCCGGGCAGTTGGCACCTCAGCATCTCGTGTTTTGGTTCAAGCAGGCACAGGGGGCTTCCGCAAAGAGTGTGCCATGAGCCAGGAGCTGACGCAGGACGACAGTATCTACCTGTACGGGCACCTAGTGACCCGGGAGGGGGAGGGTGGTAGGCAGCCAACGCGGAAGTGTCGCATTGTGGACAATCACGGCCGGGGTTTGTGTTCCGTATAGTTTTGTTTGTTCCTTGGCTCTGCCAAGCGAGGTCGGACATAGCACGACCAGGTTAGCAATTCTCCTCCCCAGAAAGCACTAGGCGACACCTGGTCCCAATGCCAGCGGTTTGTCAAGGCTTGGTGGCCAGATCCCGGGGACCGAGGAGCCCGGAGTGGCACAAACTGCACAGGGATCTGTTGGACTTTGCAATGATGCAAAGGTCTGAGGTTTCTGAAGTGGCGTGTTCAGTGTGGCATCGGTTTTCATTTTAATTGTGGATCTGCAACGATACGGAGCCAGCTCGTGTCTTGATCGAGGAAGCTTCCGCTTTCGTTTACCAGTCGTACCTTGGAGCCTTGGTTGCACATGCTGCGAGATTGCCGCATAGCGTTTGCCATGTGCTGAATGTAGTCTGTAGAGTTGGTGTGTTGCACATAACTGAATAACTAGCTCTGCAGTATAGCTCAGCAGCTACGAGGACTTGAAGACGTGTACCTGACGGACAGAGAGCACGCGACTTAATGGCCTTCGTGAGGCTGCGACATGCTCCCAGCGCTCTTGAGCTTCTGGCACACTGAATCAACTTGAGGCCCTTCATGATCCTGCCCGGGTCCATCGAGATGGGGAAGCCCCCTGCGCAGGGGACTCGGCCTGCCAGCTTGCAAAAAGTGGAAGCCCATTGACTGCTTCTTGGCCCATCCCTCCCCTCTCCTAACACTGACAACGACGTGGTGAAGTTTGCCCAAGTTGTCGATTGTCACAGTGTTGAGGAGTTGTGCGCAATCTTGCGGTTTCGGACTAAAGTGAATTGTGTGAACAGCTAGTGTCAGTCTACCTACCTGAGCTGAACAGTTCTTGGTACAATCGGACTTGGTGCCCTTGCTGAGGCTTCCCACAGACGTCTTCCGGCTCTTCTTCGGGGACTGCTGTTAGCTGATCGGGGCACATCTGTAATCAAAACTGTTTTCTTCGCTGTCATCCAGCGAATCCAGCAACTCCTTTCTTCGCAGCTGCACATCCGCGTTCATCCCTAGTGAGCCTTCCACCGTGCAAGCCGCAGCCATGTGCAACCCACGCTCCGACCCCAACCCACGAGAACCAGAATTGCGACCCTGCATCGCCTTGATCTGGCCGAAAGCTGCCAGGAGGAGGTGAGGCCGGAGCCCGGGCGGCGCGCGCGCTTCGTCGAGCTGCGTGCGGCTAGCATGGTTATTGCTTGTCCCCAGGGCCCCAGCAGCTTTCGTCGCACGTTCCACATCCACACGACGGATCACAAAGCTTGCGTTAAAGCTGTTCGAGCTTCTGCCCTGTCTCCAGCTGGCAACTACACATACGAGAATGACAATGACACGGAACTGGGAGAAGGCTCGGGTGCAGAGGCAGCCTCTTTTGGGCAGGAGCTTTGCCCGCACCAGCCGTTTGCAGGAATGGATGACGCGGATGTCATAGAAGCGACGATCTCGCCGAACGGGAAGGTGCTGCTGCCCGAACTAGGTGTAATGGAGGCTTCAGGTCAACTTGACAGCTGCTGGGCGCTCTGCCTGATGTAGATTTTTGTTATGCTGTGCAGGAGCTCGTCCTTCGGCCGCTCATGCCACTTCTGCAGGGACTTGTACTATTGACGTTGATGCGTGCTTCGTCCAGTCTTTGTGACTTGGAGAACCCAGAAAATCTCTTCAGAACTCAGCAGGACGGCGCTACCAAGTTGAGATCGATGCCCACGTAGTCCAGGCAGGTTGGCAAAGCATCAGTGACACGGCGCCATCCTTGTGTGGCAACATGCTAAGTCGCATCGAAGCAAGCCACAGGAATGCACATCCACTTGCTCGCACATTCGCTACGGCGCATGCAGGTATGCATGCATGTGAAGAATCTGAAAC